TCTCATCCAAAACCTATTTAACCAAAACATTAGCCCAAGAAACCAAGCTCTAGCTCGCAAACACCCCTTACTAACCCCAATATGCCAAAGAATAACTAACTACCTCAATGAACACCAAACTCAAAATCTTAAACAAAACTGCAAAAAATCAAATATCTTCACCCCTAAACTCAAAATACCCCAAATAGACACAACGCTAGCTAACCAAATAAATAAACAAACCGACCCAAACATAGCTAAAACCACCACACTTGCATACATACACGAAAATTGGCCAAATTGGTGTCACATATACACTGACGGATCTTCGGACCCGATCTCCAACCACACAGGCTTCGGAGTCCATACCACACAACCAGTTATATCCACACAATCTTACCGACTCCCTAACAACCAATCTATATTCACGGCCGAACTTATGGGCATGGCCTCAGCCCTGCATAACCAACAATCTAAAAACAAAACAAAAATCCTAATTCTCACCGACTCCCTTAGTGGACTACAAGCCCTCCAAAACAAAAATACCCAAAAACGCCCTAAATTAATAAACCAAATACTTAAAAGCTCCAACGACCTAACAAAAGCAGGCAAACAAATAACCTTCTTGTGGATCCCCGCCCAGGTAGGAATTTACGGCAACGAAAGCGCCGATAAAGCAGCTAAATTATCTCTCAAAATACCAGAAATATGCCTAAACCTACCCATCTCAAAATCAGAAATTAAAAGTGTAAACAAACAAAAAATAACCAAAAAATGGCATAATCAATATCAAAACTCAAATAGCCAAATCAAAAAAGTGCTCAGAAAACCACTAGCCAAACCTAATATCCTACACCCCTCTAAACAAATTGACAGATTAATTACAAAACTCCAAACAGGACACATGAACCTAAATAACCACCTAAAAAACTTAAAAGACACACTACAGGCAACTGCCCCCACTGCAAACAACCCGAAACCACAGAACACGCACTCATCCACTGCACCCACTACCAAACACACAGAACCACACTACAAACCAACCTCAATCTAAATACGGTTCCTACTCTAGATGAAATACTAAACCCTCAAAATAAACTAGAAAACTTCAAGGCCCTAGACGTATTCCTAATCAAAACAGACCTAATTAAGCGCATCTGAAAACTAATTAATCTACCAATCCAAAATCCAATAAACATACAAACACCCACCTCACCCGGCTCCTTTAGTTCCCTCCTCCACCCACCTCGGCATTTATTCCAAATTTAAAAATTTCAAAAATTCAATATAAGCAACCCCTAAAAACCCCCAATTTTGGGTGCACACACCACTTTCACCCTTCTCGGAATACACTAAATGGTCCGGCCAGGCCCGTGTGCGAAATACGCTGCAGTCGGAAAGCGCACGTTAAATCTTCTATATCAGTCAGTCAGTCAAGTGCGGGTCTCTCTCTCACCTTAGGGAGAATGCGACTGTAAAAGCCCCTCGCTAGACAGACAAGTAGTGAATGTTTGAGATAAATGTATTATTTATTATATATAGTTTAAACGCTATAAATAATTCATAGTCTTTTTATTGTTCAAATTACTGATAAAACATATTTTAACTTGTTCCTTCTAACCATATTTCCAAACAATTCCAAACCATTCCAAGCAATTCCAAACATTTCCTGTGTTGGAAATATGTTTGGAAATGTTGCCATTCCAATTTTGGATTTTCTGGAAAGATCGATCCTTCCAAGCTTTGGAAAGTTTGGAATGAGCGATCTTTCCAAAGCAATCCAACGTTCATTCCAAACTGGAATGGACCCTCCTTGGTCCTGTGCATGACGACGTCTTCCGAACAGAACAGAACTTTATTTCTCCCAGGTTTAGGCTTACGTGGATAACGGAAAATTTTGTTTAAGTGATAGCGCATTTGTAATTCAATCTAATATACTTTCCTTGATTGATTATATGGCTGCGGTCGTAGATCCGGATGTATCTAAATATGCTCAGTATATACACAGGGTTTATTGTTATACTATTAGGATTAATAGATACAATTGAGTATTTATACCCTTGATCATAAAGTTAGTCACTACTTTCACATTTTGATTTGTATGATTTGTGTTATGATTAAATTGACAAAATAAGAAATCATTCCGTGTATATGTGTATTATATATTGTACCCCAATACGTAATTAAATTGTGTATAAATAAGGACACTAGGTTAATAACTGTAATTGATTATTTGATAAACATATTCACATTTATTTGCGTGATATGTCACAGAGGTAAAGCTAATTCATAACAACAAATTGTCCATTTATTTGGCTTCTATCTTTTATATGAAACAAATGCTATAACATGGGGTGATAAACTTCATTGGCAATAGACGTAGCATATTATTGTCCGCATGAACAGTCTACTCTGTTTCAGATATGTTTATTCATTTTGTCAGCATTTAAATCGTTGCATTCCTGGCTCAATGATCATTTGACGAAATCTTGTTCCCTGTTTTGAATTACCGTCAGATAGTTCCAGACCAATGTGTTGCGCATAATTCCGAGATAATTCGAAGTTCATATTCTTGTACGAACACTTATCAAAATTCATTTATACCTAGTACTATGATGTACATATGTATATTAGTTCAAATTATAATAATGACTCCCTCTATTCTCGAAACGGTCTTTGTTCTACGACAACCGTAAGTCGGTATGGGAAAACAAAATATTTGTTTAATTGTTCAAAGTCCATAGTCAATGTCATATGATTATAGACAAGGAAGATAAGAAATTAAATATAAAGAGTAGCCACTTTAAATTACAGAAATTCTTTTAGTTAAATTTGCTCATAATTTGGTCTTTTCGTGGTAAATAGCGCCAAAATACTCTTAATTATTTACTTTCATGTCATTACTAATCTCACATAAGGTCAAAAGTTGTACAACGTTTAACAGATATGATTATGACATGTTGAATCCAAACATATCCAAAAAAATCCAAACAAATCCAAACAAATCCAAGCTTGGAAATATGACCTTGACAAATTTTGGAATGGTCATATTTCCATTTGGAATGGTGGTATTTCCAAGTTTTGCATTGTTAGTTCAAATTATAATAATGAGGCCCTCATACACTGACCTCAAACATCTGTTGCACTAAGGCACAGCTCTCTGCGGTCACATCGTTAACACCGAAGGCCATGAGGCAGTTGGCAGTTTTGATACTATTTCCACATGTTTACATTTGTTCCAGAAAGTGCTTCCATTTCCTTCGATCTATTATTTTAATAAAGACCCAGATTAGACTAGGTCTTCAGCAAACCATGCTTGCCGTAAGAGGCGACGAACAGGGTTGGGTCGTCAGGCTCGCTGATTTGGTTGATGCATGACATCATATTCCAAATGAATCGATTGTCTAGTCCAGACTCGATTATGTACAGTCCACAGTAAAATAGCTGGAATAATGCTGAGTGCGCGTTTAACAAGAAAACTGTTAAATAGACCCACCCCATCAACTGTATTGCTCAATACTTAAAATAATTTTTTAAAAATCCACAACAGCGTTGTCTTATTTGTGGTTAATATAAGCATGCTCCTTCATGCCTTTCAGTAACATCATAATTATGCAGTTGTGAGGCATCATATATGGCGGGGAACTTTGATACTCTGCATCAATGTAATATGGGACATTTGAAAATATTTTCGTACTGGGGAGTAATTACTGTTGCTGTTTGCTTTTACGGACGGTTAGGGTACAAAGTCTACAGCGATATCCAGTTCGGTCTGTCTGAATCTGCCACAAAATGGAGGGAAATTTGGGGATATAATGTGTCCTGTGTCACATGATAAACAGTTAAATCTCATCGACCGGAATATGAACAAAGATCTTATTAAACTGACAAGCCAGGCTTCTGACTGAACCACAGTCAGGCGACAGGACCTACTCGATATAAATGACAAAATGTTGAAACACAAGCAAGTACACGCCAAATATATTGTGGACACGAGTATTGCACTCATTTAGAATATTTTCTTCTGTTTCCCACACATTAAAATTGCGCTATCGTGATCTTTTTTGAAAATAGGTATTAAAGACATAAATGGATGTGTCATTAAGTCATTATATTTGGCCAATACAGGCTACATTAGTGTTGCCCTTTCTGTATTTTTAATGTACTGATAGCCCGCCTAAAAGAGCTTGCTCGATGAGTCTTTATTCGGATGTTGCCGAAATGTCCCGCGCACACACACACACACACACCACACACACACAAAAGCCCTAGCTTTCATGGAATAGCTTATATATATGCATTTAGCTTTAACCTGTCATAAAAATAATAGTCTAAGATACCGTGAGTCAGGCAACATTGGAAATATAAATTGCGGAAACATTATGAGAGGATGGTGTGGGTCTCGTTTTGTTTTTAACAGTGTGTGTGTGTGTGTGTGTGTGTGTGTGTGTGTGTGTGTGTGTGTGTGTGTGTGTTAAAAACAAAACGAGACCCACACCATCCTCTCATAATGTTTCCGCAATTTATATCAATGTTGCCTGCACACTTGCAAAAGGACTCAGCAACGCCCCTGACTCACGGTATGGTAGACTATTAGACTACAGGTTAAAGCTAAATGCATATAAGGCAGGGCGGGACAACTTAGGAATGGCCAGGAGTCCGAACTTGACCAAACAGAAGGAAGCGAGCGACAAAAACATGTTTTATATCATTGGAAAGATCTCGAGGAGACGAATCCAAATAATGTGTGTCCCAGTGTGTACACATGATTACAAGCTCAAAAATTGGCTCAGAAAATGCATTACTTCAGAAATTTCTGGCACAATTTTTTTTTTCTACAGAAATTTCTAGCACATTTTTTTTCTGCAGTAATATTTAGCAGGATTGTTTAAATTCAGGAGAAATAAGGTTCAATCATTGGATAGTTTAATCTGGAGTTGCTTTAAATGACCTTTTCCCCCAAAACAAACATTTTTAGTTCACATGATTACAAGCACAAAAAATAAAACTAATTTCGTGAGATCTTTCAAAAAAATATTTATTCACATGCTATATTACAAGACATGTCAAGGGCGACTTTGCACTATGTCTCATGGGTGAGGCGATGTTTTCAGCGATGGGTCCTGTCACAGAAGAAAATAGCTGTATAGATGAGTGGATCCATATTGTCTAATATAGCATCAGATAAATTGCAGCCTATATGCAGCCTAGAGTTTACAATAGAGCCTACGGCATAAGATGTACTATGAATGTAAATAGTCTGCTTTACTTAAGTTTTCTTCTCAACATACTTGAATTGAATTCTTTTTTCCGTCTGGTTATTGAAACCTATGTGCACATTTTCTGAAAAGATATGAAAAAACATTAAAATGCTTTTCATTTCAGTAATAAACACATTCCACATGCCTTAGCCACATGAACAATGTAAGAGAGGTGAGGTGAGTTGAAATTGGGTTTAACGTCGCGTCCAAGATTATTGCACATATATAGCAACGTGCATGCATCAGAAATTAAAAGTGTAAACAAGCAAAAAATCACACAAAAATGGCATAACCTATATCTAAACTCAAATAGCCAAATCAAAAAAGTGCTCAGCAAACCACTTACCAAACCAAAAATTCTCCATCCATCAAAAAAAATCGACAGAATAATCACTAAACTCCAAACAGGACACACCAACCTAAATAACCACTTAAAAAAAATAAAAAAACACACTTCAGGTAACTGCCCACACTGCAAACAACCAGAAACCCCAGAACACGCACTCATCCAATGCACACACTACCTAACACATCGAACCGCATTACAAACCACCCTCAATCTAAACAAGACTCTCACTCTAGAAGCAATACTAAACCCACAAAATAAACTAGAAAATTTCAATGCCTTAGGCGTATTCTTAATAAAAACGGAACTAATAAAACGCATCTAAAAACACAATAACCTACCAAATCAAAATCACATAAACAAACAAACATCCACCATACCCAGCTCCCTTAGTTCTCCTCCCCAACCCCATCAGCATCTATTCCAAATCTCAAAATTCCCAAATTATATATTCTATAACCCCTAAACCCCCCTCTTGGGTTGCACAGACCACTTTCGCCCCTTTCAGAAACACATTAAATGGCCTGGCCGGGCCGTGTGCGAAATACGCATCAGTCGGAAAGCGCACGTTAAATCTCCGAAGGAAGTAAGTAAGTAAGTAACGTGTGTGTGTGTGTGTGTGTGTGTGTGTGTGTGTGTGTGTGTGTGTGTGTGTGTGTGTGTGTGTGTGTGTGTGTGTGTGTGTGTGTGTGTGTGTGTGTGTGTGTGTGTGTGGCTGCTTGTACTAGTCCGGACTGATGCTCGCCCACTAAAATACCATTCCGCAGTTTAACATGAATACCCTACTCAAACACAGAACATGACTCCAAGCTGACCAGTCCCTGTTTTAGCTCCTTAATGCAGAGCGCGAGACAGGGTAACAACAAGTACCATCTTTTAACGTCTTTTGGTATGACGGGGCCAGGGATCAACAATGTAAGACTTAATAAATTTGAATCATAGCATATTCAAAGTCCAAGGTCACTTAGCACACGTACAATTGAAGGGGTATAAGCTATTTAAATATTCTTAGAATTACCTCCATCAATGCGCTCCACATGACCAGGGTACCTATCTGCTCTGTGCACCAGCCATGGGGCCTCTACTTCATCACCTTTCTTTAACTAAATCAGATATATAATTATATATTAATTCTTGTAACCTGTTCATTAATTCTTGTTACATGTTTACCAATTCTTGAAGGCTTAAAAAAGTCACAGTGAAAAGTTTTAGACAATACAAATATGTAAATAGTGATGAGCTCTGAAGATAAATGTAAAAATTCAGATAAAAAGCTATGAGAAATTATTGATGGTAAGAAAATCATTAATCATGTTGTAATCTGTGTGAAAACTTTTATAACTGATTATGTTTATGCTCTATCTTTGTATTCTGCTTCCCTCTAACCTAATCTTGTTTTTGATAGCCCCTCGTCTAAGTTGTAGCCAGTCCAATGTAGGTTCACTTTCTCCTTTTGGACCGATAATATTTTGGCTTTATACCTGTATTTGTTTTATAAAGATAAAAAATAAATCATGATTTAGGCAGAAAATGAAGGATAACATCAATTTCCATTTTCACTGTTCTGTAAATAACTTTTGCCCCGCTGACATTTTCCCAGAATCTATTATTAGCAGATGGAAAATGAACTGGACTTCAAAGAGAACATCAAATTATAAGAATTGTACAACTCAGATGCATCTAACATGTGTTAATCTGCATGTCATCACATAAAATGTCAGCTTAAAACCCAGAGGTTTCAAAAGATATGAAAACTGGAGTTACTTGGCATAGGTTGTAGCTGGGTAACAGATGGGAAAGATCAGACAGAAAAGACATTATGTTTTTTTAGCATAAACTGCAGAAATGGTTCAGTAATGAACACAAATGTCATTTTCACTACTGCCGCAATGCAATTCTGTGAGCAATTTCAAGAGTCACAAAAAGTGTGATCCTTCAAGCAAAGTTTCTGTTTCAAAGAGCTAAAAAGTTCAGATGAAATGCCTAGTATGAAAAAGGGGGACAGACAATTGATTTTCAGTCAGGAGAGTTAAAGCAATTAATTGATATGAAATAATAAATATTGATACATAAGGAAGATCATGATCCATCAGTATCTTAGCAAATCGTTGCAATCTGAACATAATCATAAAAAAATACTTGTGTGAAACGTGATGAAAACAATTCAATATATGAAATTTCCTTCAACAATGCAAACAGTAATTACATACCAAAAGCCATCCTCCTCCAGTGCCTCCACAATCATGCCAACATTGAATATGCAGGGGGACATCTATGGACAAAATCAGTGTTATGTGTGTTTATATTAAAGCATGGTACTAAGTGGATAAAGAGGACTCAGTCATTTCTGTTTATTCTATTTTGAAGTTTTCAATTTATATTTTAACAATTTAAAGCAAGGGCATATCAGATTGTCTGAACTGGATACTGATAATTCATATCTTATACCAGATGCTGTATGACAAATAAGCCAAATAAGGGAAGAAAGATACACAAATACAATCCACACTGTATTAACACAGTGCCTGTGCCTTTGCCTGTGTTAATTTCCAGTTTTTCACAATACTGATCTTGCTATAGGAAATGTGGTGGTTATCATATTGATAAGACAGTGAATCATTAGCTCTCATCTGAATGAAACCCATGTGGATAGTAATGTTGCCAAGGATCATAATCAGGGTGAGTCATCAATTTCAGTTATAGACATGCACAGCAACAGTGTCCATGGCCCATGAAATCCACAAACATGTATACACTAGCATATGAGCTTGTCAGTTACTGCCCTTTATTTCTACAATCTGCTCACCTTTTTATTGTGCCGCCTCCTTTGCAAGTATGTCTCAACCTGAAAGAGAATCAAACTATTGGTTTACATATATCAGGAACTATCTACCATTTTTAACATATTAGGGTTTAGTCAATTAACTATAAATCAGTTACATATATATTAACTTACCATTTTCTCAGTTTGCACAATCTTAGATGCCTGAAAATAATAGGTCAGATTAATTAGAAGCATAAAAGGTCATAAAAAGATCCTAAAATGGGTCCTTTTTATAGAATTTTGGTACTTAAATGTAGTCCACACCAAAAGAAACTATCAGGTGCTTGATCAGTCTGCCTGACATGTGCCTTATTTGACATTGATATTCCTTTTCTATGACCTGGCACTTAGTTCAGAGAAGATGACAAACGGAAGTTTTATAACTGACAGATGGATTGAGGAACATTGCAGTGAGAGCATTTATTTGTGTGAAACCATTTATTAATATGGTTAAGTGTTAAAGGAATGTTTGAAAACAGCATTAATTCAAAACTAAGCCGTCCATATATATCCAATCCATATATGGAAAGCTTTCCTAACTTACCTTTTCAGATCCTGTTTTCCTCATGCTTCTAAGCCTTGAACTTGAATGTGGAATCTGATAAAGAAAGTATTAAATACCTTATGCATATGAATGATATCATTGTTACTTAAACACCACTCTTACAAAAAATTAACTATTACCAAAAACAACATTTGCGGCCTGTATTCATATTCAAGTCTGAAAGACATATTCAAGACATGCAGTCACTGAGCCTGACCATCACAGCAATAACATTACTTTTCAAGCTAATATAGTAATTCATTTGATATACCGGTATGTTGTTCATGAAATGATTAAAGTTTAATTACCTTTCTACTCTTTTGTGGTGCTCTTCCTTTGTAATGTATCACCTGAATAGTAGTTTTTCGAAAAGATACGCTAGTAGGTACATAAAGTTACATAAATTGCATACTTTTCTTATTATAGGTATTCAAAATAGCTTATTTGATCATGTGGATCATAATAACTTTCAGTTACATACATGTATTAATATTTTAGTATAATTAAGAATAACAAACCATGTGTACACACAATGTTTAATATGCACTGTAAAATGAGGTTAAAGTAGTATCAAATCTGACAAAGTACTTACTGGAAGATCCTGGCATTCCATGACGGGTAGATTCTAATAAAAGAAACATATCATATGGGTGAATGGTTCCATAATATGTTACTCACTAGTCAGTTGAACTTCTCAAACAGTTAACACACTTCACTTCACATTAAATATATGCAGATACATGCACAAAAAAAACTGCTGAATATTGGGTCAAAATAGCTTTATAAACTTATGGCATTTTCAGTCTATGGCAAGATTAAGTATACGGTCATAAAGAAGTGAGTGAGTTTAACACCGCTTTTAACAGTATTACAGTTACATGTATATCTGGCGTGTCAGCTTAATGTGGGAGGAAACCCCGAAGTGATGCAGGTCTCAGACGTTTACCACTTCGGTGAAACCCACGATCACTGGTATGGTGCTGACAAACCTAGAACCGGGGCAAAACAGGATTCGAACCCACAATCATAGGTTTCGGGTGTGCCCAGGGGATGCAACTCTGTACAGCGAATTGCGGCGCCATAGATGAATAGGCCACCTGTGCCCCCGGTAACAATAGTATGCAAACTTTACAGGTACAGGTGGGCTATCTGGGTTTCTGTTTCTGCTTTACTAATCTCATGACGTTCCTGTGCTGATTCCTCATGGAGTAACCCCTGCAACATAATGTCAACGTCAAACTAATTCAGTTGAAAAATGTACATTACATATAAATGACATTTTTTCTGAAGATAAATGTAATGCCTAGTTCAGACTATCCACTCAAAGAATCAGCAACTGGGCTTCATTGCTAATCCAATATTAGGAGCCTGTACATGACATGTAGGTTGCTGTTGTCATCATGTCACCGCTAATGGCCTCATGACCAAGATGAAATAATTAAGTAATTATCCCTGATAAGCCCCGAACATAAAGTAAAAGTATTACCTCATATTAGGTGACATGGTTCATTTTCATTGAGTATGAATTGTTGTAACTCACCTGAACTAAGGTCACTTGTAGGTCCAGGTCATCATCACTGAATGCATAAACCTGTAAACAAGACAATGCAACAAATACAGAGGTCCTTATCATATATCTCTTATTTTGTAGGAGAAGATAGGGCTCTTATGCTACTGAACTGGGGAATTTCAGGTTAGAATTGGTCCACAGCAACCGATGTTGACAGTGTCATGGCATGGTGGCATGAATTGTTGCTCATAACAACAATCACCGGACCAAGCTGTCTTCAAATGGCTTGAATATTGACAAGTGTGGCATTAAATAACACGAGGGACTGAACTTGTCATGATATACATAATGCACAAACCACCTAGAGCTCCATGCGGCCAGCCTGGTACAGGACTAGGCTGGTCATCACCACTGACACCAGCTGATCACTGCGCCGGAATGTATATTTGGCGCTGCTGTTCAAGTTCGAATTTCTGATAGGCCTGTCTCTACTCAAGAAAATAAAGAAATGTCTTGAATTTTTCGACAGCATAACCTGGTGTCCGATCTTTAAAAAGTTCGGAACGAGTGTGAAGCCATGATAAGAAGTATTAGTATTAAGCCTAATGATTGAAGCCACCTTCCCAAATGTGTGTGCTGCATAAGCTGGAGTGGTTCCCCTTTGATTTTCCAAAATATGAATCGACAGACGAAAAGAAAATTAATTCGCATGACATATCCAGTTGGGGTACAGGGGCACTAATGATATTTTATCATTATTGAAGTATACCGTATACAGTCTGATTGATGAGTGACCAGGTGAAGAACCAACACCCTTCCTAAACCCTCCCCATAGTAGCACGCTCACATTTTTCAATATATACAATAACATACTAGATGCGAACTGTTAAATTGACAACTGTTAATTGGTAGTGGTCAACAAGCCACAGTGAATTTGCTTTTGGAGTGTGTGTGTGTGTGTGTGTGTGGGGGGGGGGTAATAATTTAGTTAATTCAGTCGGAATAAGGAAAAGATAATGATCACATAAATTTTATTGGAGGCTATGAAAGTTGAGGATCGGCGAAACCGTAACATACAGCGTAATTAACAAAACGATCACATGGCATGATAAAGGTGGCGCTGATAAACAATACCCTTCGACCACTCGCGAGACAATGTATCACCGTATGAAGTGACAATACCCGAGAAAATTTAATTGCCTTGTTGGCAGGAAGTCTGGCGGCACAGCACGTACAATAGGCATCGCTTGGGTATTCCAAATTCTCTCTCTCTCTCTCTCATAAATATTTTGACGTCTTACCTGTATCGTAACTGCAAGACGGTAACCAGACGTAACATTGCTGACTGCGCGTGGTTCGGGATTTTTGCTGTGGCTGAAATAAAGAGTGCTATTTTTCACAGAAAGAGACCACGTTGCTTGTGCAATTGTGCACAGACTTTTCAGGAATGCGAATATATACAAGTCACAAGACAAAGAATGTATTTACATGAAAGATATTTCAAATCTCGATGTTAGAGACCCTGAGAAATGTAGATTTAACTGAATCCAATCCAATCAAGTGTTACTATCATTCATTACAAATGGATAATACGATATTGCATTATAGAGAGGGTAATTATAGCTACCTGAAGGAGCAACCATTTGTCCACTCTTTGAAGTTGCTGCCAAACCGGACGCGTAATTGCAACTAGCAAGAACACTGTGTACACAGCTTCTTTCTAAATTTGGAGAAGCGTAAGTGTGTTGAAAGAACAATATGAATGTAAGTCAGGCATGAAGTTGCACGGAGGAACCGACGTGAGACTTTATAATCCGACAGTTGTTCATATATATTCATAGGCTTTTGTTTACTTCCGGCATGGTCGGACGCTATTTTGCGGTGCATTAACCCTCCTCAAATACCCTACCCAAACTGGGATCTCGAACTTCTCCAAATACAGGGATCTCGAACTAAAAGACTCAAACACCACATCAGCGAACGCCACTATCGCTCCACGGCCAAGCCGGCCCCCCGGGCTAGGAGACCCACTCGCCTCTCCGTCTGGAAAACCGACTGGCCCTCATCCACGAATCGCCAACCTTTCTATTCCTGCTAAGTATATCTACCTTTATCCCCTCCTTCCAATACTGCATGCTTTCTTACTCCCCTTTTCTATATACTATTGTGTTATTACTGTGTTACCCTCCCACTGTACACAGATTGTCAACACACACACACGCCCCCAAACCCCCACCCCCCATTTCAAAACAAACCCATCATGGACTCCCTTCCTCGCTCATCCCCACAATCCACCTCACTCTTCACTACACCCATTAACAGCAAGAAAAACTTTCCAGGTCTTACCCCAACTCACAGTACAAACCCAGTCCCCTTCGATTTTGGTCTAGACCTGGAAGAACTAAATCTCATCCTCCCCCCACCCCCGTCAGGAACATCCCCCCTCCCCCCCACCCCCAACCCAAACACTACACAACATCAATCCCCTCCCCGCCAACACATTGAACCACAAATCATAATCCAACAACCCCCAAAACCAAACCAAGCCAAACAACCCTCAACTGCAAACAAACACCCATCACCCAAACAAACAAAATGCCCCTCACACTCACCCCCTGAAATAGAACAAACAAACTAAAAATCCTGCTCACAACAAACACCCCCGCAAACAACTACAACACCCAAACACATCCTACTGGCATTTTCCACTACATCCACACCCCTTAACGACACCTTCTCTACAAACAAGTTTGCCCTCTGCCTACACCAAGCTAATATTACATACAAATACATAAACAAATGCTGCAGAGGTTTCAAACTCACCTTTCCCAACCAAGAAACACTTACACATGCCAGCAGACATCCCATAATAGACGGACTCAACATCACATGGCAGGTGCCCAAATGGATCACTCAAATACAAGGGGTAATATATATAGACTACAGGGACACACAAGAGGACATACAAGAATACATAAACATGGCAAACAATCACCACTCTCAACCCAAGATAACAAAAAACATAAACAATCGCACACCTTACTGGGCAGGACAACCAACCAAACAGTACTCCTTACATTCAAATCAACAGATCTCCCAACACACATCATTTTCGGCACTCTCACTTATAAAGTAAACCCAGTAAGAAAAATCCCCCACAATGCTCCATCTGCCACTCCTTCAATCACCCAACATCCACATGCAGACAACCACCCATGTGTCAAAAATGCGACTCGTATAGACACGAAGCCGCAGAATGCACATGGGCCCCATATTGCACACAATGTAGAACAGAAGGCCACACAGCAACACAAAACACCTGTCTGATAAAACAGACACACATACGCAAGCTTAACAAACACATCACAAAAGACCATCTACCTAAACCCGCCACCATACCAACATACAATTCCATAACTGAATATATTGATCTAGACTCCACATCTGACTCCATGTCCAGCTCCCTCCCCGAATCCCTCCCCCCCCCCCCACCACGCCCCCAGAGAAATAAACGTAAACAACTCTTTGCCACCCAACCCCCCCCCAGCTCCAACTCCCACCCTCCCCCCCCCCGACCTCCTCCCCCCCCAAACCACCCTCATACACCCCGCGCAGGCCAAACACTTCAACCGCCCCCAAAATGGCTCTGCTACCGCCCCCCCAACCCCCCCGCCCTCAGCCCCCTACCACATCCCCTCTCTAAACCCCACCTGCCCGGCCCTCCCCCCAACCCTCCCCACTGACCCAATCCCAGCCCTCCTCTCCATACAAACCGCCCCCCCCCCCCCCCCCAACCTCCCCACACCCATACCGCCCCAGTAAAACCCACCCCATCCCAAACCCCAACCCCCTGCCAAATCAGCTATTCCAATCCCATCCAACCACCCCCAACATAGACATAAACAAATCAACTACAAGATAAACACAACAAGAAAACAACTACTCTCCCACAAACTCCAGACACTCAAAACAGCCCCATCATTGATAGTCACACCCAAAAAACTCAACTCAAACACACACAAACTTATCGAATTCATATCAGCAGCCATTCTCATTAAAAAACCCACCCCCAAGAAACTCCACTCCCTAGCCCATCTTGCAAACATCTACCATAAAACATTTCAAAATTTCCAAGCAGCCATCAGGGCCCTTAAATGAAACCCCACCTACCATATTCCAAATTAGCCCCGGAACACCATAATATTCAACTTAAAAACCCCCTTCATTCCAAAACCAGATAATGGTGTTCATCCAGTGGAATTGTAATGGCATCGCCTCAAATGGGCATGAGCTTAAGGCCCTCATTGCCCTTCAAAAAATCTCTCCATTATTAATCGCAGTACAAGAAACCAAATAATCCCCCCAAAAAGCCTTCAAAATTCCAGGCTATGTTTTCATTCGGCAAGATAGACCCCGCCCCACTAATCTCCCCGGACCGCCACATGGTGGCCTGGGCATATTCATTAAAGACCATCTCAACTATGATACAATAGACATCCCAACTCCAAATCTTGAATGCCTGGCCATCAAAACTACCATAAATCAAACTAAAATCAGCATCATAAATGTTTACCATAGCAAAACAAAACCCTTCACAGGTGAAGACCTTGATGTCCTAACCAAATATATTGACCAAAACACTAATTTTCTAGGCGACTTCAATGCTCACCATCCACTGTGGGGCACAAAAAACTACTCAGATAAATTCGGAACACTAATCCAAGAATGGATAGAAACAAACAATCTTATTTGCCTTAATGACAACCAACCCACTAGGATTCCCACAAACCACCTCCAATCCCCCTCAGCAATAGACCTAACTATCACCACCCCCCATCTTCAATCCGAACTATGCTGGGAGGTCTAATCGGACACATGGGGCAGTGACCACATGCCCATCAAAATTTCTATATCTCTACCCACCCAAAACCTACCCCAATCTCAAACCCAATCCCAAATCGACCCCCCTTTAGACTATACCTCCCAGCAAACCAAATTTAACTTAAAGAAGTGTGACTGGAAAACTTTCCATACACTTTGCAACCAAATAAACACTCACCATATTCATAACATAGACAATGACATTTTCAACTCAAACTTCACAAACACCATACATAAAATAGCCACAAAATGCATCCCAACAGTCAAAACTTCACCCCATCATACCCCTGTCCCCTGGTGGAGCTCAGAAATAGAAACATCTAGAAAACATAGGAAAAAAACCTTAAATAAAGCCAAGCGGGACATAACCAAACTCCCCTTGGCTAGAAATCTCAGAAACTCAACTAAACAACTCATAAGAGCAGCCAAAAGAAAACATTGGGAAACATTTACTAGCTCCTTGAAAATGGGGAAACAAAATACCAAAATCCTATGGAAAAAACTTAAGGCCATTAAGGACACTTCAAAAACCTTCTCAGCCCCATCCTTTCCTAATCTAAATACTGACAAAGAAAAGGCAAACGCCATGGCTGCCCACTTCTCGGCCACTAGCAGCTCCGCCAACCACACTCCCCTCATGCAAGACACAATAAAAAACCACCCCACATACTCCCACAGACCACCCCTCACACACATGTCACTCAACAAAATACTCAACATCTATGAACTACAAACAGCAATCAGTAACAAAAACACAGCCCCAGCCACAGGCCCAGACAACATCAGCTACACCATACTTAATCACCTTCCCCAAAAAATTCAAAAACTTCTTCTCCAACTATTCAACCAAATTTGGACATCTGGCTCCCTCCCCCACTCATGGAAAACAGCCCTAGTGGTACCAGTCCTTAAACCAGGCAAGCCCCCACGAGAACCGGATTCCTATCGCCCTATCTCACTAACATCCCACATTTGTAAAATAATGGAATCCATCATAAACAATAGATTAAAATTCCAAATTACCTCCCAAAACCTACTTAATGAGGACCAGAGTGGCTTTATGTCAAACCGACAAACTTTAGACCACGTTTTACATTTAGAACATGACATTAAAACAGCACTCGCCCAGAAACAATACACTGTGGCCATTTTCATTGACTTTAGTAAAGCATTTGACATGGTTTGGCATCATGGCCTAATTCAAAAACTTAAAGAAAAAGCCATAGATGGTAGAATACTAAATTTCATTCACTCTTTCCTAACAGACAGAAACATCACAGTAAAAACAAAAAACACCTTATCTGACCCACATGATTTAGAAAATGGCACCCCACAGGGAAGTATAGTATCACCAACTCTTTTCAACTTCATGATTGACGACATCTTTCCGCCTATAACTAAAAATATAACCACTGCAAAATTTGCTGATGATATTTCTTTCTGGACATCGTCAACATCTCTAAAACAAATCCAAAAAAGAATTCAACCCCTTCTTAAACACCTAGAACACTGGGCAGCCCAGTGGGGATTCCAAATTAACACTAAAAAAAACATCGGCTTACTATTCAAAAACAGACACATGCCAAATTGTCCACCCAAACTCACCCTAAATAATCAAAACATTATATTCAAAAAAGAAGCAAAATTTCTGGGAATCATCTTTGACCAACAACTAACATGGGCTCCCCATATTCATAACTTGGTCACATCCTGCCAAAAAGATCTAAATCTAATGAGAGCCATCAGCGGTTCTGATTGGGGCGCTGACAAACAAACACTACTAAATATATATAAAACACTTATCCAATCCAAACTTGACTATGCTGCTCCAGTCCTCAACTCCCAGAAAAGCTAAACAATAAACTAATTTCCATCCAATATAAAGCCCTTAAAACAGCCCTGGGCACTAGAACCGGTACCGCACTAAATTATCTTCAGCTCATATCAGGAACTACATCCATTCAACTTAGGCGAAATCAAACCATCCTTAACTACTGGGCTGGGGCCCAACACAACCCTATTCTCAAACAAATCATAACCAAATACAACAACCTTAGACCTGCCACCTTAAAGAAATTCAAAAACAATCACACTTTAGCCCCATACCTTACACACCTATACAAACTCATTAAAACACACAAACTTGAAAACATTAAACATACAGCCCCATCAAACATATACATCAATGACAACCCCCCCCCCCCCCCCCCCCCCCTCCGAAACAGACCTCACCCTTCACAAAACATTCACATCACACCCAGACATTAAAAACCTAGACAAAAAAAGCAACAACAAACAATTACATACACCAAAACTGGCCAAATCATACCCA